GTTACGCAGAGAGACGCGCAGTTAGTATAATCACAGACTTTTTCCATCAAAATTTTTGAAGAAAAAAAATAATAATATTTGATATACGTTTTAGCAAAACCCAATTCCGTGCTTCTAATTCTGACAACTTAAGAATCGCGTTAAGAATGAATTGTTTTCGACCATTGGTATACCGCCACATCATATTTTCTCCGAAGAAAAGTGCCGGTCTTTCGCGAAGCGATTGCACATTACAAACTGACACGCTTTGTATACGTCCGACTTTATAATGGAATTAAAATAGCTACACGTTGCGGTCGCATATCGCGACGGTCGTCTTACGTTCCCGCTTGTGTGCGCGCAGTTCCAACGCGAAGAAAAGAAGGGCGCGGTCTTACGTATAGCCCGAACGTGCGGAATTAAAGAGTCGTTTCGTCGCGGTGTCTCGTTGCGTTGCTTCCGTCGCCGCGCCCGCTGCTAGTAACACTAGCTTCTCGGCGAAACGCTACAAGGCGCGTTACGAACAAACGAATGGCCCGACTCTCGAGGAAACAAAGAGTTTGTACGTGCGTTAAATATAATGGCTAGAGCTGCGCCAACGCCCGCGCAGCGCCGCGAGCGTTTAAAGTGCCTCCTCTTTTCTTCCGCGTTCCCCACCGCTACGCTGCCTGACAATTTTATCTCGTCGAGAAAGTCTCTTCGCGTCCTCTCCCATGAGTCTCGAGGGTGCAGAGAAGAGCGACTGCAATGGCTCGTGAAGAAATATTCTCTCGCCCTGCTCTCGGGCGCTCCCCTTCTTAATTAAAACACCGTCAGCCGGTCCGGCGCCTGCGGGCGAAATATGCCTCTAATTCCGATGCGACGTTACAAAGTCGACGGAGGCGGCTCCGCCCGTCGACTCGGATGACGGCAGGCATCGCGCGACGACTCTCGCTTGATTCCGCAACGACGACGGTCGGGAATTGCTCGTAGTGGAGATACGAAAGAGAGTAATCAGAAAGACCGTAGCGATCTCTCCCGCGCGACAAATGTATTCCTTCTTAAATGCCTCGCTCGTTAAACTGCTATATAATTACTACTTTGCGAAGATACCCGTGCGATTAAGTCATCCGTTACTTCCTCACTCTTTCGAGTAACATAATGCTTATAATTCAGAAAGTTTAGTGCCGCGTATAAATCCACAAGAAAAAACGCGATTCATTACAAAGATCGTAAAAAAATAAAGAAATTAATTCTATAAAAATGTAATTGAAGTTAAAATTTACCGTTATATATTTTTATAGTAGTAGTAAATTATATCTGGCGCGGATTAATTTTATCTCTATGAGTTTTGTAAAAATAATCAAAATATTTCTTTATACGATTACGCGTTTATATACGTTATATTATAGTTTCAAAGTGACGACCACGAAAAATAAGAGATTTTTTCGAGCCGTATCACAGTCTTTTGAAACCTTTTTCAAAGGATCATCGAGCAAAAAGTTGCGGCAGTCAAGATCAGAGCCGGCAGGATCCGACAGTTAGGAGCGCTCAAATTTTAGCTGATGAAAAGTTTTTATGAGATGGAGTAGGTAGTCGTATGCGGAGCGTAAGAGTCCATCGCACAACGTCCATCCAGCACTTGCTACAAATTGCTAGTAATATCTTGTGCGCGAGTTAAATTTTTTTTTTTTCATTTTCTTTTCTCGATATCGCCGCGAGAAAAAATGCGCGTTTTTTCACGACAAGATACTGCAAAAGGCGTTGCAGGAACAATTCGAGAGCTAGCAATCAGATCTCTTCTTTGTTGGAAAAAAATTTATATTTTGCGCTAAATATTTCAAAGAAACAAACTGCGTGCAAAACACGGTACAAAACAAAATAAACTTTTATGAAAATCTCGCAGCGTGTAACAGCTGCAAGTCTTTGATTATATGTATACTATATTTACTAAAATAAAAAATTACAATCGAGATGATTAATTATACTGTGATTCTACGTAGAAATTACCTTTTAAGTTTTTTAATTAATTAAATTTAATGTAATTTATTTTTAATTTAATATATTACTCGCATTTTTTCAGGCTCGTGTACCAAAAAAACAGTCTTGTCACACGTCAATAGATATTATACAACGAAATATTTCAGATGTCAATCAAAGGCTGCAATATTTTCACGACAGCAATTGCGAAAAAAAAAAACAGAATATGTGACGGATGACATTCTGTTTTATTATGAAGAAAAATACGCACAATTCTTGTTAGTGTAAAACTTGTATTGTGCAGGACAAATATATTGTGCTTGAAAAATGAGTATAAAAATTGCAGATACAGTGCAGTTATTCCTCAGAGCGAGAGGATGCACGCGCGTCGGGAGTTCAAGAACCCACTGTTACAGAAACTGCACTTCTCCCGCAAACAAAACAAAACATAATAGACACGGGCAATCCCATAAATCCTGAGCGCGAGCGATGCACTTCTATTTCTCACGGCGGTAACTCATTTTGAAAAATGCTGCGTAAGCCAACTCGAATCTTATAAAGCTGCGGCTGTATCTTTTCCGAACGTCTCTCGGTGTATCTGGAGTACTCGGAGGAGAGTGACCGCGAGTCCTAATCATTAGATACACCCGGGAAATCGTTCGTTTGCGAGAAGAGAAGAGAACGGAGATCGTTAGAGCATCGTCAGCACGCGGCGGCTAAAAACCCCAGGACAAAACAGCGGACGTGCATCGCGTCTCGTCTGCTTCGTTTTCTTGCCAGTAGATCCGGAAAATCGACGTCAGTCGCTCTTTCAACCGCGTTCGCGCGCTCAAACACTGCGTCGTACTTCTTCCTTGAACGCGAAGGATATGGTATCCCGAGCGCATCGCGAACGAACATCGTTGTAAAATAACGACCAACTATATATATACATATATATATATATATATATATATATATATATATATATATACAATGCAATCGAGAGTAACGAGACGCCGCATATAACGACTCAGCGGTTGTTCTTGACGAAAAGATCATTACGTGTCCGCGAGACGAGACGAGTCTCTGGCACAAAACGCGACGAGAGAAGAGATCGCGCGCAGTTTTCCTCTTTCACCTTCGCTCGCTTTGTCGTTATTTTCTCTGCTTGAATTTCGAAAAAATTGAAAGAGATCTCACATGTTCTGCGCTTGGCGCCGAGCTCGTGTTTCCACGCTGCGAACGAAAATAATGAAAATAGCAGCGAGCGAGATTCAAACATAGTACGATATCACTCGTGTTTTCGAAAACACCGTTTTGAAAATATTATTTGAAATTGAAGCGCATCGATTTATTGTTATATATATATAATATATATATATATATGTATGTGTATTCTTTATTATATGTGTATATTTATTATATATTCTTTCTTCATATATATATATATATAAAGAGAAAGAAAGAGAGAGAAAGTGTGCGTGTGAACGTGGTGTTACTTCAAAAATTAAGATTAAAATAAACTGAAGACGATGTTCTCTCGGATATACTGGATATTGTAGAAATGTAAGAATTTCTTGCTTTTATATTCAGCATATTCTCTTCCAACATATTTCCGCAAAATATTCTACGTAAAGAGTCGACACGGAATACACGGAAACACTTTTGGGAAATAACTCAGATTCACGGCGTTCTACTAGAGGAATTGAATTGAGAAGCAAAACACACAGCAAAGGTGGCGTTAAAAAGTTCTTTTAGACGACAGAGTGTTCATGTTTCAATGCAAAAAAAAATTCAGATTTATCTGATGAAAACGCGATTATGGAGCACAAAAGGTAACCGTAACGTAACAATGGTATGTTCGTCATAAACGAGCGCGCTCATACGAATGCACGCGGACATTGCGTAATTCGCACGCTGCAATTGTTATCTAGCGGCGACAAAGCGGCGCATTTAGCGCTAAGTGCGGCTGTTTGATTTTGAATTCCACTCGTATAACATTAGCACGTCACATTTAATCTTATTGCACAAATCTCGCACAAAATGTATCTTTTATTGTTAAACCGGTAGGTTCATTTATGAGTTTTATTCAATAGTTGTCACAAAGAGAAAGAGAGAGAGAGAGAGAGAGAGAGAGAGAGAGAGAGAGAGAGAGAGAGAGAAAGTGTGAGAAAACTCGACAAAATTATTCTTAAGAAATTACACAAGTACGAATACAAATAAAGTCAACTGCGCGTGCAGTACTTTAATGATTATTCGTGAGAGGCAGCAAAACAGCGAGCGACGTGCAGTCCGCCCATCCGCGAGCTTCCATTCGCTCGATTAATCGCACGCTCTGCCGCGAGTAATCGCGTCTTTTTCCACAGATCGCCGGCGATTTGCTCGCGGAAAAACTCGGCGTTCTGGAAATTGCGCGGCAAGTTTTCAGGTGTTTTTTGCCCGGTTTAATCCGAACTTTGCGATAAGGAGATTGCATTGAACGACCTCGTTATAAGTCACCGCTAGTAGAGTGGTCGGATACCTTTTACTACAGACGATTAAGGAGTAACTTCTTCGCTCGCCTTTCCTCGTGTGCACATGTGCACATTTTAATTCAATTTTCAAGCATGTGCTCGACAGTAGCGATACGAAATTCGATCGATAAACTTAAGAGGCGATGAAGACTTTTAAGTAAATTGTTCGTTAACTACTTTATTGTCAAACTTTACAGTGTTTCCACTGATAATCTTGTCGTTGTGTAAAATAAGATGATAAAGCACGACGTTTACAATAACATACATACGTATAAAATAATTTTCTATACAAATTTTGTAAATTATATTTTACACAAACCTATATTTCTTTTGTTACGAAATTGAGACAAACCTGTCATTTTCAAAACGATAGTTGATGCGATGACCTGCACAGATATCGACGATTTTTACAAAACGAAGTATCTGTAAATATGACAACATTCAGACTGCGTCGAAAAATATACGAGGGAATAGATTGGTTTGACAGGCAATACGTGTGGTCGTCGACCCTTTTGTTTCGAGATCGATACGCGGCTCTGCAGCATGTATGGCACGCACTACGTCAACCCGGTTGGCTCCCTTAATTTTATCTACAGAATTGGCATTTCTGGTCCAATGTTTGCTGGAGACGGATGCACGTCACGATAAGATCGCGCGATACTATGATGAAACGCTTGTCGCCTTATCCATCCATTTGCTTGCTCGTGCTCGTGACATTTCACAGCCAGCTGGTTTGTGCTAGTTATCAAGGTATGCGTTTTCTGTGTGCGATGTCAATTAATTTTCCCTTCAGTTTTTATTTATTTCTTTTTTTATGTTTTAATTAAAACGTCGTTGAGAGGATTAATTAATTTCTCTTCAGCTTTATTAATATTAAACAAAATTTTAAAAATTGCTTTTATTTAAAAAAATATATTAACAGGTTAGTTCGAGATTGACTCATTAATATTTTCCCTCTTTTCAAAGTACCAATATTAATGTAATTTATATATGTGGAAATATGATATATTCTCATACAATATGAATATACAGAAAGATATATTGTAGAGGGATATTTTTTTAAAAAGAATATGTATATATGCACAGATAATAAATATGTATGTATAAATTATATAATATTCAAACTGCATCAACAAATGCAATATATAAATCGCGTGAAAGCATCGCGCGAAGAAAATATGTACCACAAAAAATATGACCCTGTTATATTACACTACGTCTTTTGAGATATATTAGCCATTTTCGTAATTTCCCGCAAAAAAATTCCCCATGTCGATCCCTTTCAGAGCTTCTTTGCGCCCTATCAGCCTGTCCTATTTCGAGAAAGTCATTGCCATCTATCAGAGCAGAGCTTTCCTCTTGTCGAGCACAGCGTGCACGCGAGAGCTATTTTTCGCGGTTTCGCGGGCAGCAGAGAGAAGAGTAGGTGGGTTCGTGGTACGAGAAGATGACCCATTGTACATCACATCTCTATGCTACCCTTCCTTGCCTGCATTGCGGTTGTAGCCACAAATGCCGAAAACGAAAAACATGCTTTCTTTTCATTACGAGCTCGATTTAAGAGGATCCTTCCGCGCGCTGCAACATAACGACACGGCATGTTTTTAACCTCTCTCCCTCTCTCTCGTGACACTTTTTTCCTCCTCGAAATAACACGTTTTTCTTCAAAAAAAAAAATTCTTACATCAAGAACGAGAAAACAATTTGTCGAAGAAAAACAAATACGTCCGCTCCTTGCTATAAATCAAAACCGCTGTGATCGAGGAGTTGTTAATTAAATTTCCTAAAGTCCGGAACGAGGCAAGTAATTTTTTTAAAGGGAAAGTGCTGGTGTGTGTGCGACTGACATCCCTCTGTGATATAGCACTGCCAAGCGAGAAAACTGCTGCGCTTATACCGCGAAATGATGATCCATTGTACGTGCTTGCCATGACTTCGTTCTATTCTTTCTTTCTCTCTCTCTCGGTTCTTTCTCTGTTTTATCTCGTACCGCAGCGGCGTACGAGAGACGAAATTGATATCTGATATCGAGAGACTCTAGCCCGTTTAACATTTTCACCTACATGGGAAGAACTGCTCTTCCCGTATCTTCGCGACGAAACGTTATCCGAGAAGATGAAAGCGGAAAGAGACCACCCCCGTTGCGTTTTTAAAAATATTCTCAATTCCCCTTCTTCTCTGCAATCATATCTGAATTCACGTTCGATCTCATACAACACATCCCCCGTTGGAGCGTATCTCGGTACGTCGATCAATTCTGTTTGTCGAAGCTTTTCACTTTCGCGAAGCGAAGTTTATTCCGCATTTTTACGCCGGCGTAAAACTCAAAATTCACGTATATTTCTACTATTGCTACACGTATATTGCTACGTATATTTCGATCGCTGTTTAATTGCGCGCGTAGGGTTTTGATATATTAATCGAGTCGTGTATGTGAAGCCTTAAATTTGAATAGCTATTTCATGATGTTATTTGAATAGATATTACGCGCGGCATTGTGTTGCCATTATGCAACGTCGGGGTTTAAATAATGAGAAACTGCCAATGACAAAATATCACACGCGCGTTCGGGCGTGATTATTATTTAGAAACATTTCTCTGGTGTATTAAATTTCCATTCGAATTTCTCTTGAAAATGGAAATACGCGTAACAACATCATACAGAGTAAAGCGTGTAATACGCGCCGCCGATAAGTGAAACATACACTCGGAAATTTGAACGTAATATACAAACAAATGTTTATTATTGTGAATTCGTAATTTTAGATAAATCGAAACCCAATAAAATTCTCTCGAAAGTAAATATTAAATATATACTGCGGTCAGAGTGGCAAAATGATCACTAAGGCCTCTTGTCAACTCAACATATTGTGGTAAAATTATATTAATAATTGTAACATTGTGCTCTCTGTGATTTTCAACACGTGTTTCAATCTGTTTGCCAAAGATTTTCAATTGTCTGTTACACTCTGATTCATGTTCATATTGCGAGACAAACAAATATACTTTTAAGAAAAGATCATAACGCGATCTTGACGTTAATCTCTCACTTTTCAAGGGCGTTACACACGCGCCGCTTATTTGCCAGACGAGCACGAACTCGTGATACCGCGAAAGGTCAGATCGGACGGGAGTTTCGTGTCTCATCAGATACCTCATCACTACGAGCGTTCCTTTTATCGAAATCGGACGACGTCAGAACCCGCGGTTCACTATCGCCTGCATATCGATCACGAGGAGCATCACATCGAACTCTACCCAAATCATCGACTCCTCGGGCCAGGAGCGATAATCGAGAAACGTCGAGAATCGCAGGACTTTTTGAGTAATATGCAACTGAAACGATTGCGGGACACGCAATGTCACTACCGTGCCCGCGTGCGTAAACAGTCGGAGAACAGCGCGCTGTCCACCTGTTATGGACTCGTTAGTTGAATGTTATCTCATTTAATTGATCACGAAGTAGTATGCTAACGACTGTAATGTGTTCGTGACTTGAACTCCTTTCGTAGCACTTCTACATGAATTATTTAAATCCAGAGTGGAATTTTTTACTGAGAATTTAAAAAGAAATCGCATTCATCTTCTTCGCGATCTTAATATTTTCTTCTTCAGGTCGGATACATTAAAACAAAACGCGCTTGGTACATGATCGAGCCGATAGCGCGACATGATTTCACCAAAGAAGCGAGACATCCGCATATCGTGTATAAAAGAAGCCCGGACGAATTTCAAAGCGTCGCCATGCAGGATCTCTGCAACGTCGTCGGCAATACGTCCAGGATCATTGCCAAGCGTGCTTTGAATTCACGGAAGAGAGTGCTCGCAAAATCAAACGAGAGCAAAACGTACACGGTGGAGCTGCTGGTGGTGTTGGACAAGTCTTTGCTGAATTATCACAGAGAATCCGACGTCGAAAATTATGTTCTAACGCTCTTCAACATGGCAAGTTGGAAGTTTTAATTTTCAAACAATTTTTATATAAATTTAATTAAATGAAAATTTTTTTAAGATAATCTTCTCGTCAGGCAGGAGGATTGTTTCACGACGTCAGTTTAGGCGTTCACGTGCAGTTGGCTATAGTGAGGATTGTAAGATTGGAGGTGGAAGAAAATGAGGTGAAACAATTGATAAAAATTTTCAACAATTTAAATAAAACTATTTATTCCAGAGATATAGTATAAAATAAATTTAATTTTCTCTTGTACTTGAACAAAAAAATCATAGAAAAATTTAAATAGTTTCTTGTGATTTTTATTAAATTCAATCCTGTGATATTTTGCCAAATAGATGAATTTGTCAATAAATCGGAACGCGGAAACAACGTTAAGACACTTCCAAGAATGGCAGCGCACCATGAATCCTGGCGACGATTCTCACCCGAATCACCACGACTGCGCGATTCTGCTTAGCAGGTACGCGACACAGCCAATTCTTGAAATTCAATCTAATTTCGAGATTCCCTTGACAACCGATGATTTGTCAGGTTGAATATCTGCGTCTCGAGGAACCTCTGTGGTTTCACCGGCACGTCGACGATCGCTGGTACGTGCGATCCTTTGAGAGGCGCAGCCATTGTGAGAGACGCCGGTCTGCCAACCGGTTATCACATAGCTCATCAGATAGGCCACACGTAAGCGTGTAATTAATTTCATCCGCTCCGACCTGATTAGACGCGGCGGAAAAAAAAAAATTTCGAGTAATTACAGCGCGCTGTAAAGCCCCGCGTAAATGTCCGGCGAAATGTTCTGCCCGTGTATGTACAAGTATATCATTGTTAGTCGACATCGTTAATCTTCTACGGTGTATCGGAGCAACAAAACTAATTTTATATTATTAACGCAGTACAATATCTTTTTTTAATCCGCGTATATTTAGCATAGATGGATGCGTCGAACCGTCACGGTAAACGTCGATGTTTCATATACCCTCGATTCAAAGAAGGGAATATTCTAGAAACCGATATATTTTCTCTCTCGTCTCGATAACCATTCCGCTCGATTCGGTTGCGCCATCGACTGATCTCTTTTTTGCAGCCGACACGAGGGAAAAAAATTCGAAATAAATTCCTAAAGACCGTTTCTTTGCCCGAGAGTGGAAATAATGGTATGCCGTAGCGTCGTCGTAAATAAGTCACGGTCGAGGGCGTTGTTTAATGTATGAAGCGGCTTCCCCGTCGTCGTTTTACCTCCGAGATGCCTTTTAAGAGCCGAGTCCGGACGCGATGCGCGTGCCCCAATAAATATTCCACTCCGAAAAGCCGATTTTCTTTTTCTCATTACCAGCCTGGGTATGTCCCACGACGTTGAGCGGGAGAACGGCTGCCACGGCATAGTTTATCACGGGAACGGATACGTGGAGACCACCGTTATGCATCCGGGCGACATGTACGTCACGAAAAAATGGTCCGAGTGCTCCAGGCGCTACTTGCGCTCGTACATCGAGTGAGCTTAATGCTTGTTGCTTTCTGTCGCTGGCGACTTTATTAAAGTCCGCCGGCAGCAAAGCTGCTTTCCTCATCTACTCCGAGCGCGCTCGCTAGGAGATGCACAACGTGTCTGATCTACGATCGTAAATTTCAAATTAAATTAGAACAGCGCCTTCTTGTTTCACGGAGCTTGACGATGATACGCGATATGAAAAGCTAAACGATAACGAAAAGTTAATTTCTTTTTTATCGCTTGAATTTTTCGAAGTAACAGAATTTCTTGAGAAATCTGATTTTCGTGAATCTTGCATCAAGATAACAGTTCAATTAATCTAAAAATATTTTTAAATCGCTTGAGTAGATGAAGAGTTGTCTCAGCTTTGTGTAACAAATACAACGACTATTCGAACTAATAAGATTGCAGATGAGTCACGTGTTATTTTAGGCAGGGATTGGCGTTCTGTTTAAAGGACGAGCCGCGGGATCATCATTTCCCCGCAGCGCAGATGTTGCCGGGCGTAATGTATGATGGTGACGATCAATGCCGTTTGCGATATCGACAGGACGCTCGGCAATGCGAGATGGGAATTGTAAGTTAAGTGTAGATTAAGGACACGAAAAGTACCGTCTTTCCACTTTTTTTTTTATAGCAAAAAGCGCCGAGCGCGATTGCGGACGCCGTTAACGAGTCCGATAACGAGCGCGTTATCATATCGGCGGCTCGCGGACGCAGGTCGCCCGTAAAGAGGCACCATCTGCCGTTGGCATCTACAAGCTGATGCCTTTGCGGCCTACCTTATCCGTTTAGGAAAATACGCTCGCGCGCGCGGTGTCAGATAAGACACGGCCCGAGGAGTCGCGATATCGCGTCGAGATATCGCGATCCGCACGCACCTAACTAACAACCAACTAAAGCGGGACGATCTCGCGTTTTGCGATTTTCAGACCTGTGAAACTCTCAGGTGCGCCATACCGGGTAGAGGTTGCGTGTCTGGTAGGAAACCGCCCGCGGAGGGCACGCCGTGCGGCGAGAAGAGGGTAAATTATCGCTTATGAATAAAGAGCGGGAAGTAAGGCACGAAGAATGATCTACGACGTGTCCGGCGTTAGAATTGCGCGAACGACTCGTCGGTTCCTTCGTCAATTCTTTTCACGATACGGAACACGGAAAATGTAAAATGTTTGAGTTGCTTTTTCTTCGCACTTCGTAACAAACTCTTCAGTTTTTCAGACTGCTATTTTGATATTTAAAAGAAACTTTTCTCTTCTTGCATGTAAAACATTTATTTTAAGTTAAGTTCGTTTAAAGTTTGAATCTCACTCTTTGTTTCGCGCAAGAGGTAGTCATAAATCGCTCGAAATCCTTTAGAATTTATGATATAGTTATAAAAAAAAAGCTCTTGTATGTTCTTGCACACACATTTATAGCTTCATTATTTCAATTCGTCGTCGCTCGTAAAGCTTTTTAGTGTAACTGATGAATAAGTCCTTACTCGCCTTCGAGAGCCTTAAAAGCGTATCAGAACGTAGATTCGAAGAAAAATTACATATTGATCAATTAATCAAGGTTCTCTCGAAGACCTTTCACCGTGAGGCCATTACGTCGGAGCGGTTTAAGTATCTCATGAAAGAGATACGGGGCGGGGAGTGTATAACAGAAAGCTAAAAAAGCTATCTGAATCCGCCATCGACCGTGAGTCACCGCGCCCTTTTAGAATTAAAACCAGTTTCAGCCTTCAGTCAGGTTTTATTGGCCCTTGAGGCAACAAAGTATAGCTTGAAAATTGCGAGCGGATACGCATTCAAAGCCTCATCCGACTGACATCGCGCAAATGCCCGTAAATTCTTTTACAATAATGCTTTCGCGAGTGTTTGCACAAAAAATTTCGCGGACTCTGTGCAACATTACGTCTGTTAGTTTCTGGTTTAATAATCAAAGCTTCTTACAGAGAACTGCACTTTAAAAAAGATCTGACTCTGAAATCAAAGAGTACGTCTCTAAAAACGCTTCTCATTACTGAACATACAATCTTGGATAATTCGACGATATTTCCGTCAAAAGAAAATCGGCTTCCGTAATTTGCTGAAAGAATATGATAAAAGGAATATTGTACAAAATAATATATATATATATATATCTCTGACCATAAAATCTCGGGCATAAAAATTCGCATGTCTTGCTAAGTGAAATCCGTTTGAAGTCGAGTCACGAATATTTCGGAAATCGAAACGAGGCAAGTCGGTCGAAAATGTTTTTTGCGGTTGTTCAAGCATGCGCGGCTACGTGACGTTATAAAAAGGGATTCGGTTGGAAAACGCGGCAAAACGTGATAGATTGTCGATTCGCGCGTGACGCTGTAATGGTCGGGCGACGCGAACGGTGTCCAAATATCAGACATCGGCGAACTATCAGATTTGAGTGACAATGTTAATAATGGGTCGCGCCCCGTGAGCGTCGAAGCGCTTAGACGGGACTCATTAGCGTCGACCGACCGGTCGCTTCGGGATGTCGGTGAGTCGAGTAACAACCATTGAGAAATAAAACCCGTCGTGAATCCGACCGGTGAATAATCTCTAATTTGCACGAGCAAACCCTGAAGTAGACACGCGCGCGTCGCAAATTGGGCCGCCACGTCGAACTGGTTCTCTCTTTGTGTATAAACACATTTCAATCGTGATAGATATGTTGAGTCTCAAAAACAGAAATTTTCGTCGAACAAATATCGATTTGAGTACTTTTCGCGCAGAACAAAATTGCGCACGATTCGTTTGAAATAACTCAAAGAGGAATGTTCGAGACATATATGTGTGTATATAATTTAAATAATTCGCCATGAAAAGGGGAACGAAATTTCGTTCGATAAAATTTAGCGAGCACAATTGAACGATGCGCTGGGTATTGAAAAGCTTACAAAATTGAAATTGCTACGATAACGCGGACTATGAAAATAAATTGATCTATCTATGTGCATAAAAATTGAGTTTGTTTGTCGTGGCACTTCGCAAAGCCGATGCAATTATCGGCAAAAATAAAATAGACAAATAGATGCGCAATTGTAATCCGCGTAGCGAAGAGCAATTATCGCATCGCTGGTCGAAGGCAAATTCGATGCGTTCGGGTGTTATCGAGCGTCCGTGCTACTAATGCGGATGTTCTAAATGGAAAAGCGCGGTAGCTGAATTCAAGTATCTGTTTCAACAAAACGAGAAAATTTATTCACACGAAGTTTTGTAAAATAATAAAAAGAGACAGACAAAAAGAGAGAGAGAGAGAGAGAGACAGAAAAAGGGATTGAACGGATATTGCATTAATTTCAGTATTTTTGGAAACGTCTACATACATTTGGCATCAGATGGCCCGTGAAAGTATTAATATTATCATTGCAAGAGCAGCGTTCTCGCGGATAATCATTATTCACGCATATATCACGCTAAATAAAGTGTGATTACGGCTGACACGCATTATACGATTATTGTTTAAGTACGAGATAATTAACGTGAGGACGAGACGAAAGGATCGAATATTATTCCGGCCAATTGGCAAGTTAAATAGCTGCAACTGCGCCCGAGAGACTGCACAAGAGACTCAATAATTATTCGTGTCTGAGAATAGCGTTAGTGATTCTAATGGAACAAGACGAAGGAGTCTCCGAAGCGCGCGAGAATATCTCTCGCACGGCATAATAAATTTTCACGTCACCCTTCCGAGAGACGTGCATCATTTAGTTCGGTGCATAATGCACTTCTCCAGGACATCCTCCGTGCCTTCTTCGGTTCTCGGCATAAGTCACTCCCGCGAGTACGTCGGAGTTAACGACTGTTACAGTGGTGTTACCAGATGAAGTGCCTGATGGTAGGAGAACGACCCGGAGTCACAGACGGCGGCTGGAGCGCCTGGTCGTCCTGGAGCAGATGTTCCCGTACCTGCGGCTCCGGCGTGGCGTACGCCGTAAGAAAATGCGATCAGCCAACCCCATCCGGAGGTGGCTCTTACTGCGTCGGCGACAGAAAGCGTTACAAAATCTGCGCGACTAACGTTAGTCTCGACGTGCGCTCGGCACGAAAATGACAATTTGAAGCTTGCAAGAAATAAAACATTTTGTTTTTCAAATACATATAAAACGCGATATTAATTATTTTTTTTACGCAGCCCTGCGAAATCGGCGCGCCATCGTTTCGCGACGTTCAGTGCGCCGAATTTAACGACTGGGTGTTCCCGGAGGACGGGAAAGTTCATCGCTGGATGGCGTACAATCTGCCGGAAGGTAAGATTACGAGAAATCTTCGAAACTCCCGTGTCGATTACATCGCGATTTATCTGTCCCAGACTTGAGAAAATCCGAAAATCCCTGCGCCCTTTACTGCACAAACGAAGCTAATCTGGTGACCTCGTTGAGACCGGAAGTGGTAGACGGCACCACGTGCTATAGAGGTATTCGCGACATTTGCATCGGTGGTGTGTGCAGGGAGATACCTTGTGATCTAGATATGGAATCCGCCGCCGTCGAAGACGTTTGCGGTATCTGCAGAGGCAACGGCACGTCGTGCACGCTGAAGCAAGGAACTGCGTCGTTTACGGACGAACCACGTAAGAAAAGAACATTTCGGCGCTAGAATATAAAATACATACATGTTCACTTGTGAATACTATAATTTTGCTTTGATTTCGAATATCACAATGTGCAAAATATCCAAAACAATGACTTTCACAATAATTACTATAAAAAAGGTCACTTCTTATAATTTGTTGAAAAATATTTTTTGATATTTAAAAGAAACTTCAAAGAATAGTTAAAAAAAACGGTTGCTCTTTCTACCGATTTTTTCCACTAGAAATTTCAAGTTTCTGTCGGTCTCTCTCTCTCTCTTTCTCTCTTTCTCTCTTTCTCTTGAATTCTTTATAATAATTTTCTCGGTACGTCGCTTGCTATTCCACGTCAAGCGGGTTTCGCGACTTGACAAAAATGCCGATGAACTTCAGCGTCGCGACACGATGAATAGAGAAGCACGGGAGGGGGATGAAAGGAGAGAGGGAGAGAGAGAGACGAAGACTTTCGCGAATTAAAATTCCGCGAGAGCAGAAGAAATAAGGCTCGCGTTCACGGCCTTGCTCTCCCGGTGGAATCTCGAGCGCAGCGATGCTTTGAGGATCGCGACAGCCAGATAAATCTTTCTGCAGTGCGCGACGCGACGTTGCGCCCCGAAATTGGAATCTCGACGAGTAATACCGCGGAGCTAGCTTTTCGCAATAATCTCCCAAGCGAATTTTCGCGTTAAGGGCTCAAGAAGATAACGGACGTGCCGGCTGGCTCCAGGAATATCCGCGTCGAGGAAACGGAACCGACCAAATCGAGGATCGTGGTGCGCACGAAAAACACGAGAACCGCGTTGATCGATGGGTATAAAAAGAAAAGATAAATAAAAATTTCTCTCTTATTTTTCCAACGTTCACTCTTACATGACGTAACGTTTCCTGAGAAAAACGACACCGCTTATCTTCGTTTGATCGAATGTCTTGATGCAACATCTGATCTCCTTGCCTCTTCTTACTTGAACTTGTCTTTGATCGATCTTGCCGAGCTTATGACACATCGTTGCGTAGATACTAGTACGGCGGGATACCGATCTTACTCTGCAATTAACGACGTGATCATTTCAGTAACCGTCTAGGAATGTTCGACGTGCCGGGATCCAAGGCGTGGCTGGGAATGATAAGACCGAGGCAGGAAGCTTTGAATATACCAGGACCCGTCACCGAGGACTTGATTATATTGGTAAACATAATGAATGCACTTCTAATTAGTTGCTCTTCTCGGCGAATCGATAACGTATCTCCGAGCAGGGTGTTCAAACTCAAACACGCATTATCGGCGGGAAGAAACGCACTTAACTTGAACCGAAAAAAACATTCTGTATAATAATCAGTTGTAATCTTCGCGCAAAAACGCGAGTTTCGAAGCGAATATTTTTTGCAAATGTGTCTTTTAATCTTCGTTTAAAACACGACGCGGTGAAATTTATAACGCTCTTGCGACCAGAAATCACTCTTTCATTTTTTAAGCGCGATATTAGTTTTTCTTAGTTTTATGTTAGGGTAGAGCAAGCTGAGGTTCGATATTAAACCAAAATTGAGTTTCATCTTTTCATATTTTTCTTGACGCCCGGTTAATTTGACAGGTCTTACCGAAGGAGAACGTCACGTTGAAATACTCGTTAGGATTGAAGCAACGAACTCCCCGCAAACCCGTGTTCTCTTGGGGCTTTATCGACTGGGATAGATGTTCGGCAGGTTGCGGACCGGGAGAACAGATATCGAAACCACGTTGCATCGAGAAAATCGGCGGATTGGTGGACGATAAGTTTTGCAGAAATATCACGAAACCAGACGCAAAGGTCAGGCCGTGCAATCAAGCCCCCTGCGTGCCGAGGTGAGTTTCACGTCTGGGCAATCTTATTTTTGGAACCTTTGAAATATTTATGAACTTATTAATTCATGTGAGATAAACAGAAAAGTTACGTAACTACGGGATCTTCAATATCATAAAGATAAAACGCGAGAAATCAACTAAATAACATTATGAATGAGTTACGTCATACTTGTTGGCAATAGCGATAACATTTACACAAACATTGCTTTCGTATCACCGTCGTATTTCGTCGGCCGTATCCACGCGTCGTCGGGCAGAATCGCGTTTATCTTAAGAAACTAACGAATGAACACGACGCCGCGCGATAATCGTCGCCAACCCGTCGCCGACTAATTAAGATCTTGCTTGTTATCGTCGCGCGCGATTCCAGGTGGATCATTGGCGACTGGCAAGGCTGCACACCGTGCACGCCAGGTTGCAAGAGAAGGCGCGCTGTCAAATGTATACGACCCGTCGGCCGTGGCGAGCAGGATGTCGACGTGATCGAGGACAGCTACTGCCAAGGACCGAAGCCGAGGGAGACGGAGTTCTGCGAGGCCAGCCGACGAAGACGAGAGGACAGAAGTGCCGCCGACGGCAAACACGGACTCTTCGCTGCTCGATCGAATGTGCTAACGCGACAAAACGACTTCATTAAGACCGTTCGAAGATCCGCCGAGACGAGTTTAAGCGACGATGACTCCGTAGGAAATCCGCATCCGGACAATATCTCTTTGCCAGCGGGACAAGCTGAAAATCCACCCGGGTTGTCATGTCCGATCGAAAACGAACACGTCAATACGCTTTTGAAGAAAACGGATTTAATTCCATTTAATAATTCGATTAGAAATTCACTTGGATCCGATCAAGATCGCTTCGAGATAGGCAAGAAGAGATCGGCGAATAATAAAGACGAGATCCGCGTGCGTAAAATCAAGAAGGGTGAGGTTGTGATTGACAAAGAAGACATTCGGAATCTGACGCTTACGATTATTCTGGAACGCGATCGGAAGAATGTCATTACGAACTTTCCGAAGGACTTTGAGCCTCAGCCACCGGAAAACAGCACGGAATTCACTCTGATCGGCATGGACGCCCTCAGATATATACAGAGAATTCAAGAAGAAGCGCGTTCTGCACCCGAAGTCGCATTCTTTCGCAAGCAACGCGCACGTATCGCATGATAAATTGGATCAAATAATCAAAAGAAAAAAATTGAAACGACTCTACGATGAAAACAAAAACAAAAAAAAAATGAAGAATTTATTGTCACACAAGACGTATGCGGGTATTGATTTTTCTCAATGTTAGGAGCGTTTGTTCCGTCTCGAAGCGACGTCTTCCGCCGAAGACCGGACAAGTGAGCGCACGTTCGGAAGACGAATCTGCGTCGATTCGAGTGATGGCCATGTGATCCATCAAGAAGACTTTTACGAGTCGTTGAGTAGAACGACGGCATCAGAACGCGTTGCGGGACACGCGCGCGCGCATGCAGATCCCCTCGGGTACACTCGAAACGATAAAAACAACCGTTACGTTATACGATCGAATTATACTCGCGGTGCGCGCGCGCGCTTTTATACAAGCGTATCAGATTTTAACGATCAAAACGGCAGAAACTCACCGCATCAAACCAAGCCGAATGACAATCGGGCGGCGGGTCGCGCGAGTCGCAAGATAAATCGCCCGATTAAATCAGCGACGTTGTTCGAGTCAACGACTAACACGGCCGTATAATTGACGATAAAAGCGGCGATAGATCCGCTAGAGAAAGAACCCGAAGATAATCTCTCAATATGCGCGCGGCGCTATACGCCGACGAGAACAACGAGCGACATAAATTACACCTGAGCGACGGGCGAGGAGGATGATTCTCCGCGACCCACTAACAAGTCTCGCCGCCGAGCATTGATCTTTCAGATTCGTCGTTAGTAAGTTATTTATGGCGGGAACGATACTTTGTAATGATCCGAGATTGTAGAACGTTCTTCCCGGGGCTCTTCCCCTCTTAATGGTCCGTGTTCTGAGAGAGTATCTTCAGGAAGTGTCTGGCGCGCGACATTTTCTTGTATCAATAAAGATTAAGTGGCAAAAAACGCGCGAGTCATTAATCTTGAGCTTGTATACTTTGCTCCACAGACGTGCGTCTCCCTGACGTCCGTCTGTCTGCCCGTCGATCAGTCCACCGCAAACGTCGCGGACAACCGGTCATATCGCGTGAGCGTGATATCTTTCGTTCATCGAGCGACTCTTTTCGTAATATATACATGTATATTTTTTTTTTTTTTTTTATTCGGCCTGACGACCTTCGTTCTGTCATGTTAATCAATCACGCCGTGACGACGACGTGAATCAGCAAGTAATAACGCTCTTGTAACAGAGTCTGACAGAACGTCCAAAGTCCTGTATAATGCGAGTGTCCTGTGTACACGTGCTTGTGTGTTTTAACTTTTAATTAATTCACATCTAAATTTATTTCACGAACTTATACATATAATTTGAGACAATTCGAGACACGAAGGTAAATTGCGCGTGCGAATGTTCCACTTTTTTACTACTCAACGGCTTTCCTCCGACGCGACGTCGATTGACGCGCCGCGATCATCGCTCTTGGTGGTGGAGGTAATACGTGTTGTACGCGTTGTCGAATCACGATGAGCCAACTGTTCGATAAGCTTGATCGCCTGCGCGCCCTTGTAGATCTTCTGCTGGCTTGTGTCGATGCCAACGCCGACGCGATCGCCGGCTTCGTGGAACGCTTTGTCCGACAGATTAGACTGGAGGGATTCGTCCATGTACGGCGCCTCCAGCACTACAATCCGCTCGATGGGCACTGAATCCTTGATGATGGATCCCGGTTTCATTGTGGTGAATCTCTCGTCCGCTACGCAGGTGCGCTTACGCTTGTCCTCGTTTGTCATCGCCCAGTCGTAAAGGTGTCGTCGGAAGTCCCGATCGGCGCTCGTCCCTTCGAGCTTGTCGTCGCGCACCTTGTCACGGGACTTATCCAAGTAATGAGCCAGACCTACATCGACAAGTCGGTCGATCATTTTTCGCCAATCGTCCGAAGATAAATTCGCTCTTTCCTTTGCATCCGTAAGCTCTTGCGCGTTGGACTGTCGAGTTTTTTTGGGACACATCGTTCTGCAAGGTCTTGTACCTGGAGTTGCGTACAATTGTTTGCAAAATCGCGAAATTGTCACGTGGTTTGAAATTTTTATCTCATCTACGTTAATTCGAACATATTCCGAATAAAAAAAAAATCGCGATATCGTACCTATGCATTCTTCCTTTTGCTTCGGCACGCGACCTTTGCACGCGTTTAGATTTGCCTGCACGTCGTCCTCCCCCGGTCGAGCGCTCGGTCTCACGCACTGGACCTTACGACGTCTCACGCCTTTCTTCCCGTCGCACGCGTTGCATTTGCTCCACTGGCTCACTCGCCATCTACACGATCGACAGACCGACGACATGAATTTATTTGCTTTACATCAGATTTGTAAATCGCGCCGACGCTAATATACGCTAGATCGATGTTTATGCGATGTTGAGTTAACATCTTATTTATCGGCGAACATATGCGGGCATAGTTGCGTGGCAGTGCGCGTCATCGTTTAAAGAAGGAACTAAGATCGATCGAGCGGAAGCCAATAGAGGTGTCGAGAGATTTCAATCGCGGCATCGTCGCCATAGAAAGAGCCATTGGGCGGAGCAGCGACGAGATATACATGTATATTTTATTCAACGTCAGAACAAATGGATGTCACACGATTCAATTAAATAGAAAAACAATTAAAAAATTCTCGAATACATTGTTACATATTTTGAATCAAAAACATTGTTCGTGTGCTGTGTGTGTTATTTTGTCGCATACTGATTTAAATAAATCTATTATTCCGTCCGACAAAACCTTCCCACGAATGTTTATCGCGTGAAGCGATATCGACGATCGCATTGTCTAACATTTCGATCGACATTGCGCGGAACTCGCTTTCTACGTTCTAGAACTTGCGACTCACTTGGCGGGACAAGGAGTCTGATTGCAGATGCGGCTCTTCGGTTCCGGACGCGGTATTCCGTCGCAGAAGTTAGGCGTCACACGTCCGCCCTGCTCCTCGATGCACGACGCCTCGGAGATCTGCGCAAATCGATGACACGTCCGTTGCATAAAAGCGGTCGCGTTATAGGCGCGGGCGCGCGCATGTAATGTCGTCACATAAATTACCATCGTGCCGCCGTCGCACTTAGCGCTGCACTCTGACCACTCGACGAAGTCCCACATATACTTAGGCGTGTACGACGTATTCGTCGACATCACGTAGTACTTGTAATTTATTCCGGGATTGTCTTGGGGTTTGAAGAACACGTACTAAAAGAAAGAACCGTTACAGGATCAATGTAACTTCGATATAAAAAAAAAAAATATTCAGTATTTTTTGTATTTCATCGCCAACATAACATGTCGCGAAGATTACAGATCGTTAAAAGAAAATTGGTAAGACGTATAATTGTTTTTTTACATATATCGCTTGAAGCATGAAGTATCCTTAAAAAAAACTAAGTAATTTCTTCGGACACAGAGTGTTATGTACTTGTATCTCGATATCTTCAGATATCGGACCCTTCATTTCTACCACTTCTTTATCCGGCTCCGGATGCGTGTAGATTATCATCGTTCCAGCGCACTCGTAATCTCCGCTCTTAAACTCGCGGCTACAACGCAAACGACAACGTCATAAAAGCGCCGTAAAAACACGCTGCGGTTTATCGTCGTTACGAAATGTACTGTGCACGTATCAATTTTCCCAAGAACGTTTGTGCACAATCGGTGCCGTAAATTAAGTACAAAAAAACGAGAGAGAGAGAGAGAGAGAGAGAGAGAGAGAGAGAGAGAGAACGGACGATTCATGCAAAAGCTCACTTGTCTGCATTGATGCAGTATGTTTTATTTTTTGTTAGCATCACGGCCAGGATGTTCTCGCTGGGTTTTCTCTCGAAAACATGAATACTGCGAGCTCCCCGTGGTATTGTCACGATCTTCACATACGCTGCAAAGAGAGACGGACGATGTATCGTCGAGAAAGAATTATTCGATTTCGTTTGGCGAGCCGCAGGCGCAATCCACTGAAATTTTACCACTCGATTTCACTGTTTCGGTATATTCGCCCTCTACCGGGCTGCATGTCGTTCCATCGCCTTTGCACACACCGCACTTGTCCTCGATCGCGTCCGAGTCTATCACCCAGTCGCATCCGACTTTCTGCAGCGTGAAACCATTCTATCGCGTCAAACATTAGAAGAGAGAGAGAGAAAGAAAGAGAGAAACATACAATAAAACTATAATTTTTATTTTAAAAGGAGAATCTTTATAAAAAAAACTTTTTACGCAATAGTTTGTTAAGTAAGAATTTTTACATATTTTAAAAAATATTTTTATAAAAAGTAGAAAAGTAAAAAATAATAGATATAAATTACATATTTTTAATATTTTAAACTGTCAAATATAATAAATATAAAAGAAAAGTCAAAAATTGACTTCGTTGGCTAAAGAATTTTATCGAATCAACGTGGCGCTCCTAGCACGAATAACGTTAAATTTCAGCGGAGCGACTCTATTTTCCGAAAAAGTTACGATTTCACACCCTGCACGTTCCGGAGATGCACATGTAGTTGGTCCCGGGCTTGCACGGTGTCGAATCGTTCGCCGTCGGAGAGATCTTTACGTAGGTATGCTTCTCGTTGATGCAGTAGAGAGCGCAGGGTTCTAATTTCGGGTTCATGTACGGTTTCCATTGATGAAGCCCGTCCGTCAGGATCTCCTCGTTGTCGTGTTCCGAGCATTGCATCGCACGGTACGGCGGTTTTGTCGGGTCGCAGGGCTGTGCAATTTAACGCGAAACGTTACGGCGAATGTGTGCGCGACGGAATTCCGCGCGGAACGTCGCACAGAGAAAATTGCGACAACGCGGAGAATCGTCGCGCGATTAAAAAGAATTAAAACATTGCAGCCGGCTCCGTCATGGAGAAGCTTGCGGCAATAATAGTCTTTCTCTCGAACTGAATTTGCAACAGTCGCGCTGCTGCACCGCTTGCGTTGTCTTTTACCGCATCGGTATCTTTCGTCGGTGGTGAAACATAAAACTCCCGTAAAATTCACGTGACAACGCAAACGCTGTCAGTCCGTCTCGCCGTGATACCGAAAATAAAACGAAAACGTGCATCCGTATACGTGTGTAGTTTAAAGTAATATATAATTCGAACAATAGATCGAAAGTGTCGAAAAGCACATTTATATACACGACTGTGTAAGCGAGGCTCAATTATTGAAGCTCATAACTCACAACAAACAGATAATGGATTGCAGTTTTACCGTAGTATTGCAAGTAAAAAGTTTCTTTCTCTCGCCGATGCAGTATCTACCGCCATTCGCCGGTACCGGTCGGTCGCATTCTCTCTCGGAATACTTGAGACCACCGCCGCAGGTTCTCGTGCAGGGACCCAAGGGACCCCAGTCGCCCCAACCGCCGTGCACCGCGGCCGGTCGAGTGCCCATGTCCACGCACTTCTTGTGAATGCACCACTGCGAGGATTCGCGCGCACGCACTCCATATTATTCTTTGTTCCGCGAGTTAGAAGAATGCAATATGTCACGCTCGGGCTACTCCCCGTCTCGTACTTTGCGCGGAATACCAATTTCCAGCGCGCGCAAAGTTCCCTTGACACTTCAATTTATTTCAGCGGCGCGATTAAATCTACGTCCGCCGGTCGCGCGAGCGCCCCGAAGGCGACGAAATCTACATCCGCGCGCGCGAGGAGCGATACGCGCAACGCAGGCGCGCGTTGTTTAATAAATCTCACGTTGCAGAGAAAGAGAGAGAAAAAGAGAGAAACCAGACTCTTTTATTCCGCTAATGTTTTTCCGACGACGACGACGACGACGACGTACTCGCGACGAATGGACAGACGAACGAAGGCGAATTGCAAATGGCTTTCGACGCGAGGCGCCATTCGCGTTTGCAATTCGACGAGAGACGTTTGCTCGATAATTGATGCCACCTCGAAGCAGCATATTATTTGCATCCTCGATAATACCGGCGGATGCATAAACAACGACGCTAAGCGACCGCTAAATAATCTGAGCTGGGAATATATTTCGCCCGGGGAACAGGTTCTACGTAACTTACGCGTACCTTGTTCTCGCCGCACTTCGTTCCGTCCGCCTTCGGCGCTCCCTTCGAGTAGCAGCTCGAGTTGGTCAAGCACCACAGCCGTTCGCAACCGCTCACCTGAAATATACACCGTTGATCTTGAAGAGCTCTAATCAGATTAGTCTCGAAGTGATAGAACGCGAGGGATAGAAACGTGCGCAATCTCCAGCGGGATCGAATTTGTCGCTCTGTAAACGCAGCGATTTCCGAAATTTCGCTAACATAGACGAAGACGAATACTCACACACGCCGAACGTCTTGTGATTTATTCAGAGTATGAATATTCCGTCAGTGCGATCGAGCGCGAAAGATAATATATATATATATATATATATATATATATGTCTGTGAGTGTGTGTGTGTATATATATATATATATATATATATTTATATATACACACACATATATATGTATATAGATACTGTACGATAAATGACAAGAGATTATAATAAAAGCCATTTGTGATTCCCGACAAGCAAGTGACGAGAAAAACTCATAATGCTGATAGTTGATGTGACAGAGAAATTATCGATTTTAATGAGAAGGTAAAATATCACTAGTAATGACATTAAAAAAACGTGACTCGCGTTAATTGGATAGAAAACGCTAAAATGCGATTAAGGTCGATGCTTATAAAAGATTTTTTACTTGAGGCTGCGGACATTCTTGCGAGTCGGGAAACGTCATCTGACATTGGTAGGTAGCGTCGTACATTGCACCAGGCAACATGTCCGGATATTTTAATTTCTCTGGAGGATTTCTCGGATTGTCGGTCAAGCATTCGCCCAAACCGCTTCTTTGCTTGCAGAAATGTTACATATCAGAATGCGAATGTTACATTTGCAGAATTAAATGTCGCATTAATATTTCTTTTAATGGTCGTTTCTACACAACAGAAATCTCAGAACTTGTGTGTAAGAAAAAAAAAACAAAACGGAATTATTATGCTTCTAGAATAAAAAAAGAAAAAAAAGATTTATCGAATGGATTGCATAAACAAGATTAATTTCGCTGCAATTCGTTGATAATGTCATGCGGTAATTAGCTGATGAAATTTATGACAAATGTAGAAATACCTAATGGAGAGGAGAATAATATTGACCAATCAAACATAAATCCACATATATTTACGATGGAATAATATTTTCACGGAACTGCGTGCGCGTTGAGCATATCATCATATATTTGCATAAAGCTGTGCATCATTAAGTAATCAAAAAACGGCTATTACTTATACACAAACTCGATTTACTCGAGAAAGGCTGTTATAAATTTCCTGCTGCAGCTCGACCATCGTATCGTGTATAAGAAGACGATCGGGGACATAATAAAGTAGCTATCATCCGTGTCCATCGATGGGCATCCGCTGATCTCGGGTTTGTCGTGAGAGCAACCCATGCTATAAAATACGATTTTCATAGTCAAAACACCCTCTATATTACAATATTATGTAAAGGAAGATAAACCTTTGACATTTTTTTTCTCCTCGATCGCGCGTTATCGAGATAATTGCACAAAGTATCAATGAAAAATGATTATAAGTGTCGTTAAAAAAAAAAGTTCTTGTAAACTATAAATATATATATATATTTATAGTTTTTTTTTCAATCGAGTATTTTCAGATTTTTTTAAATTTTAGCACTTATATCGTTGTCTAAAAATACTTCGCGTGATAGAGACGCATGGACAGTACACGTGACCAACTTCGTGGGCAATCACGATGCCGAGCAAGAGCCCGCTGTCTTCGTTGATGCAGGCTGCCTTTGCCGAGTCACAGGCCGCGGCGACGTGCGCCAGACCCATCAGGTCGCAATTGGTTTCTTCCGAACAAATGTCGTACCTGTCGTGAGCACATATACACGCGAGTATGACGATCAGAACCTTTGCTTAAGAAAATTACCTCGTAACCAGCACCGCGATGTCAAAGTGATTGGGATGCTTGTCATCCTTCGGATTCATTTTCTCTGCCCATTTCGAAAAACTCTCCAGCGTATCCTCGGCAGCCGGACTAATGAGCAAATCTATCTACGAGCACAAATAGCATCGAAATTCGATAAATCAGACGTGTCGACGACCTTAAAGTTCCTTCTTATATTATAAAAAATTCAACGACGAGAAGTAGCTGTTAGCTTCGCTCTTCTACAGAAACAAACTTATCGGTTTTTTTTTTTTATCTGTGTCTTCGTAACATTACCTCTTCTTTCTCCTTTTCCAAGTATATCATGCGCACTAAAACGGCGTCTATTTGATTTCCCACGGACTTGTCGTGATAAAAGTCAGACACCATGTTCATGACCGTCAAGAGGTACTGTTCATAATCGGTACGGTTGTGAAAGTCGAGGAATCTCCGATCGGCGACCAGTCCGATCTCTATGTAACGGTGTATGCTGTGCGTGCCCGGCGTGTACGGGTTATCGCGTTTCACATTGAGAGAATTATTTTCCATTAGCCGCTTCTGCCTTTTAGCCAACTGCTCCGCCCACGCGGACTCCCAGTTGTCTGTTAAAGCGGGAATGAGCTTCCACAAACTATGCGCCACTATTTGTCACTTGCTCGTATAACTATGCAAAATCCTCTCCGCGTTACGTTACATAATAAACGGCTGCGACACGCGAGCTATACTATATCGCCTCAAGTTAAAGTGAAATAACAAATGATGTGGGTCGCGTAAACAACCTTCCCGGTTTTCGTTTAACAAATTATTTGTGTGCAAAAATGAAATTAAAACAAAAAAAAATGTCGAACAAGACGAATGCAATCCGTCGCCAAAATATTAGAGTGCAGCTTTAACTCAATTAGAAACTGTTTAAACGATTATATAAATGTAATATAATCAAGAAAAATGTACCGCTGGTCCCGCAGTGTCGTTTTGATGAGGCGTCGGATGTTTTTTCAAACGGCGCGTTTCGTTTATAAGCTACGTGAATATGCCGGCCGTCCGCCTCGGGTTCCGCCTGATATACTGGCTCGATGAAGTACCGTCCATGATTAGTTTGCACGTATCCAGCCTGCGCGCGAGAGGTGTGTCACATTACTGATATAATAATAGCGATAGCGCATAAAATATCGACACCACTTGTGATACGACATGTTTACTCGATTGATGTAAAATCGTTATTTGTGAAAGTCAAGTCACATATATATATATATATACGGATATATATATATATAAAGATCAGCGTTCTCTTCATACACACTGACACACACATACACACACATCTAATTGGCGTGTAAAATTCCACACACGTGTTTATCAGCACACACGCGTCGTGCAAATTCTATTTGTTTCTTGTCATGTATCGCGCGAATTAAGATTCATAAAATGATTGAAATTAACGAAGGAAATTATCTGGGCAATATGGGATATAAAATATTATATGTTATAATATGTCGAAAATGTCACACACACAAGAGATTGATGGAGCCGATGGCGTTTGTCGACAACGTCGACGTCAAAGTGGCAAAGGCCAAACACGTCACATTCTACATGACATTTCGATCGATCCGCAACGTTCTGCGTTATTCAGAAAACGTTTATGAACAAATAAATACTGATTGCGAAGAGAAATTATGGATCGCAATTGCACGTAGTCTATACGCGTCGCAACTTTTAATAGAAATCAATTAGACATTCCATCCGTTTAACGCAACTTGTAGTTTAACTGCGCGCATAATCGTTGTTTTTTTTTTTTTTTTTTTTTTTGTATTCTGGTAGCAACGAGTCGCGGTTGGAAATCACTGAGATTACCGAGAATGTGATTGCAGCTGCAAATATTCGACGAAATGCGTTCGTTTTTGTGACAAAAAGTTCGGTCATCAAAACTCAATTTTTTGATTTTTTGTAACTGAATGATGAAGAAAACACAACACGTTTTTCGCACGGGATCAAGTGTCTCAATAACATGTTTACAGGTGTCACGTGCGATTCCAGTGATCGTTCTTCTATTTTTACTACTATCCAGGAAAATCCATCGCGCAGTTCAAACTGGCAAATGGCTGAAGTGAAGTACGTCACAATGAATACTGCGTCGTTGTTGCGCCGATTGAGTGGCCGCGTAATACACGCGTTTCGCGACGCAAGAACGATCGAGTCGATCTTTTCTATTACGCACTTCGAAAAAATGCGTATTGACACAATAAATTTACATGTGAATCAGTACGTTGTGAACAATTTTATACATATACTCGTCAATCCGCGTGAACTTTATGATAACCTAAAAAAAAAAAAAACATTCGGACGGAAATTGCGGTGTAAATGCAGGACGTGTTCGAGTTTTATTAATAACTCAAAAACAAGAATAAATAAATAAATATATGTTATGCAATGAGATTTCGAGAGATCTTGCCAAAATAATTTCAGTATCAATTTCTCAGACGTCCAACGCTCTTGTGCTTAAAGAGTGGCGCGTTACCAAAATAGCTTTTCTAGCATTACCCAACGAAAAGCTTTGTTATAAATTGCTATTGCATCATAAGCTCTCTTGAATATGTGCACTACATTCGGCTCCATGTTTACCGTGATGATCCGCGCGTATGCAGTGGAACGTAGGGAACCGTTCTCACAGAAAAATGTAGGAAATACTCTCTCGTCGAATTTCGACGGGATTTAGAAATGTTTCAGAGCAACCCTTCCGCAATATCCGTCCGACTGCACTCGCGATTCTCCTCTCGCTTCGTTAACGCTAACCTCCCGAAGGAATCCGCGGAACGCATTATGTGAACCAACCACGCTCGCAGCCACTTGAAAATTCTGCTCTATCTCCGACGGCAAATACTCGTCAAAATTAGTAACAATTCGCTCAAGCCGCGTATGCATAAAAATGTTAAATCTCTCCGGCTTTCGATTCAAATGCCGGATTAATATATTAAGATACGTCATTGAACGGATTTTTTCGTTTGGAAAAAAAAACGTCATGACTGTTGTACAATAATTATGTGCTTTTTTTAAACGATCAATTAATTCTCTATTGTGTTGTCGGAAAAAAAAGATATCGCATCGCGGCATACGACGCATTGTGAATAACAAGAGGATCCGTAGACACTAATTTCTCGGCGGTTTGCCATAAATTCCTTACTTTGAACGGTACACCTCGATAATAACATTTATCATATCAACGCAACCGAGCACGAACATGCTCAAGATTCTTCTCTCGGTTCGTTAACATCAAGGTTCTCGGTGTAAGTTAGCATCCCCAGAAACGGGACGTGTGTTGTACTAACCACGCCGTCGCACAAAGACAGAGCCGCTCTGGAATTGTCGTGGCCTCGAACGGCGCCGCGATAGTGACACTGCCGATCGGACGCCCTCCTGAATCTCAAACCCTCGTCGAGATTAGTTCTGATCCCGGCGCCCCGTGTCTCCACCACCATGTCGGGCGAGATAAATTCATGGTACGGGCTGAGCTCCACGTGGTGATCGATTCCGTTGAAGGGCAGCACCAGGTGCAATTTATCGGCCGTCCCGAGGGATCGCTTCCCGCGTTCGCTGATCTCTCGGCGGTCGTAGAAATTCGGCAGGGAATACGTGCTGAAGCTGCCGTCCTCGAGCACTCGTCTCGGTACCAGAAACTCGGGCTCGCGAATGTCACGGGTGTATCTGGTTCGGTACGTTTGACACGTGATAAAATACGTCGCGAATAAACTTGACGGATTTTCGGAAGATTTTCAACGTTCTTTACTCGAACAAGTTAATTTTTTTTTTTATTTAAAATTCAGCGACTGCTAACTAAATTCCGCGTTGTCATTGTAATTAAGTTATTGTGTTTTATCGTAATTTTGTCAAGAATACGAGCACTCTCTCTCTCTCTCAGCCCGTAAATCTCGACAATGGTCTAGACTCAAGCTCCGTCGCGGCAATTCATAGCAATTGCGAACCGTGAATGCACTTACCTACCATGGTATACGTTTCCGGGTGCGTTGGCATATTTTTCGAGCAAATCGCCATTAACAATCACAAAGAAAAGCGTCGGAAATGCTAAGAATATCATCATTATAAGTGGCTCGAGCTGAACCAACCTAAATACGTGCTTGAAGTTGCCAGATGTCGGCAAACAATGAAGGAACGAAGTCGTTTCAATAGTTTACACATATAGTATATGTACATACATATTTATACATATATGTATACATATCCGTATACATATCGTAACCAGAAAATGCAAACAATTTATTTATGCGCACCGATTTGCGTAATAATATCGATGATCCAATTAAAATGCGATGACACAAATGTCGATTAATATTCTGATAAAATATTGTCATACACGTTTGTAATAATTGTCATAATGAGATAATCGCGAGAGAGAATATCGCATATCGAATGAGTTATTAATGTAAACTGAAAATCTATGATTATTTGATCAATCAGTGCACGAAAAAGATAAAATAAATGCAGTACGATTAACAAATTTGTGCCAAGAGATTTGGATTTGCATAAAATAATAAATAGGATGTTAAAAACTGTATCCGCGAACTAATTTCACGTTATTATTAGGGATAATACGACTGATCGAGAGAGAATCGTGACTTATCATATATAAATTACAAGAGCGTTCTTTCGATTTATGAATATTTTCCACGACCGTATCACAAATTTAGCATATTTTTATCCCATAATATCGAATTTATTTGAACATGTGATCTTTTTAAGAGACAAGGTTGATATGCAAAATTAAATTTTTAATATGACGCGAATTTCGCTCGCTCGTTATGAGGCTACTTTTCAACCGGGACCGCAAAATCAAACCTCTATTTTCCGATACGATATTTGATATCGTACGTTCGTTATGTTACCATTCAGTCCTTATTTTGCAAACTCTCTCTCGTGCGGGAACCACGTTATCGGAAAATACGGAGCATAAAGCAACAGACGAATTGGAACTTGAAAATTTGCGCGAACGAGCGTATTTAAATTTCACAGAAAAATGAACATTTCAAAGTCGAGAGCTTGCGCGCTGAACAGCACGCAAATGTTACTATTCGCATTATCGACGACGAAGTTCATGCAATTTTACGCTCAGCTTGCAGTCGCGGCATTTTGCATTCACTTGTTGCACTTGATTCAATATCAGTGACAGAAAAGAAAAATCGACAACAGTATCGGTCAAGGAACAGAATCTCCTTTTCAGGTCTCCTCCTCCTCCTGCCAGAAAAAGCGTGTGTAAATAGTCACAATCGAGTCTCTCGATATTGATTGTTGCCACTTTTATCACGACGCTGATTGGACGTTTCTAGGATGTGTTTCTCGATTCATGTTGTACATATCAAGACGTCGAGCGCGACTTTGTTGCCGGTCGTGCCTCTTATACGCGAAATTCATGCGATTGAGAAGTAAGAAGATTTTATGGAGCAATATCTCGAAAACGACTGAACCAATTACTTTCGATTTTCTCTAAATCGCTTCAAAACAAAACACTAAAAACCAAAAGTATTCTTGCGTTTTTTAAAGTCACGTGACAGGGAAAAGAGAAAAAACACCACGTGATTACAGTCATTTGACTAAATATACATATTATATATATACTAATATTATATACAAGATGATTCAGAACAACCTGTTATTCTTGAAAATACATATTCTTGACTAAATTCTGACAACAGTTTATTTCTGAGACAGTTTATTTGGCGCAACATTTTGTCTGAATCTTAGTATATATTTTTTAATGTTATACCTTATATTGTATTATGTGTATTATATGTATTATATATGTATATACTACGGTAAGGGTGCTGACCTTGATCACGTGACTTCGGTGAGATCACTGATTTTGGTCACGTGATTATGATATATATATATATATATATATATAATATTATATATATTGTATATATTTTATATATAAATATAAAATATTATATATTAATATATAAAATTCTTTTTTTCACTCTTTTCCCTGTCATGTGACCTTACTTTAGTCACGTTTTTAAAGACGCGTGACTTTAGTCACGTGTTGGTTTTCCATTCTCTCCCTCTTTCTATTTTTGAGTTTGATTCTTATGCGTTATTTCTGACATCTTTCATATGTATATCATGTGTATTATATAGTTTGTAAGACGTATATACTAGCTGTCATCGCGGTGTCAGGTTGTGTTTACTGGCACAACACTGGTTGAAATAAAAACAATAACAGCGTGCGCGTAGCATGTTGTGCTGGTAATAAAAAAACCTGATGATATATGTTACGTAATAATATTATCTTTACTGATGGAATATTATAAATGTACGCACGCGCACGTATGTATTCACAATACGATACGGTTGTAAGAACCGAACGTTATTCTCAACTCGCTTATTCAAAGCAACGTGTATACAAGTGCGCTACCTCATCTGAATTGGACCAGATACGGCCGCGAGATGAGTGATCCGACGGAGGTTAATCTCAGTCTAATTTTTTTCCCTTCTGTCAAACAAGCGAAGAACAATTGACGCTTTGTTATCCGTTAAAGCTCGAAGAGACAGCGGAGCGAAACGCGCTTCCACACGGACGCTGCTCTTCTATCTGACGCGAGAATCGGCAAGAACGGCGGCATAGGTAATCGATGACTCTGCATACAGAACATAATAATACCGTCATAAATTTTCGCTCGAAAAAAAGATCGCAAGTTCGATGAATAAATTAAACAACAACGCGGCCGGGACCAGCTCGAATCAGCGGCGCCATCCATCAACGATCGCAATAGCTTCCCAGTGAGGACAATGAATAAATTACGAGGAGATATATCCTACAATCGGCAGGATCCATTAACGCCGGCGCTAAAAATTCTAGAATCTACCGATCGGTTCAGTCGTGCGCAACAATCGCTTGCAAAATGAAACAAGCTGCTTTGCACCGCAGCTTTGTTTTGCCCACCAAAATACAGCTACGATAAGCTCTCATTAGGATTCACATCTATTATTTGTTCCTTTTACATTAGAGATTTTCGGATTGAATATGTTATCTATATCGGATTTCATACGGGTGATATATATGTATCACTCTTTCCTGTATGATTGTTTCTAATCATTATCACATAGTTGCTACTTCTTTTTTTATCCGCCATCCAGTTTTCGTTATTATCAGCTGCGCGTGCAGTTTATCGTGCGCGTTCCTTCTCTCTCTCTCTCTCTCTCTTTCTCTTCTTCTCCGCCGTCATCTCGCTGTGTCAATCTTGCGGATACACTCCATCGCAGATAAATGCGGACGGGAAGCAGCGGGTGGTCTTTTCGCGCTCGTCATTCCGGCTGTCGATGACAACCGGTCGTTGGCCAGTCGGATAATTAAGGACCTACCTGCGCGAGAGCGCGTTCCGGGAGGAAAAACGAACGTGCTAAATTGCCGAGGTCCGGGATCTCTAGGGACGTGCGCCCCGAGGCACAACGCGGCGACCGCCTCCGTCGATGCGACGTCGCGTCGCCGCCGGCGGGAAAGAAAACACGCGACTGTGTGTCGAGAACCCGCGCGATGTTAAACGGCCGACGACAAGAGAGCGCGGTCTTTATTTACGGCCGTAACTCGCGGGTTTTGCATAAAGCGAACCGTCGAGCGAGAAAGAGAGAAAGAGATAAGGAGCGTCTCTCCCGACCGGGTGTCTTTTCCTTTCCCCGCGAGATCCCGCCTAATTCCTGTTTATATGACACCGGGGCGCAGCCGTGCGCGACACGAAAAGGGAGTCGGTGAAGTCGATCTAGCCTCCTTGTGGGCGATTTAAATGACTCTCGCACGACAGTCTGGCCGAGCTTGTTGCTCGTTTTTGCAACCTTGACGGGATCACGATGACAAGTACGCCGGAGAAAGGATCACTGCGAAATTCAAGTTTTAACTGTTACCTCACAACAGTTTGTTTAATATCGAGTGTAGGCATGTGTGTGTGTGTGTGTGTGTGTGTATTCGATGTCGATTTTTCGAGCTAAAGAAATATATACAGCCTAGTCGATACATGTGTCTAGAGTCGACAATCGTGTCCACGATTTTTCTAGAAAGCCGCCAACTTTAACACAGCTCTATCCCGTGACCGTCCATGTAGCTCTTACACGTCACCGAGTACCGGTGCGAGTATCCCGTGTGTCATGCACATGAATGGAGACTCAATGCATCTTGGCGGATACGCTCCGGTAGACTTAATCAAACGCACACCGACCGGTCGCCAGGGAGTTAATTCAACGTTATGGCCGTTCGTTTGTCATACACGAAGAACGGACGGTTTCTCGGTGCGCGCACGAAGCCGAGTTTTACAGGGGACAGAGGCGAAAAAACGATATTCGCCGCGAATAGAGAGTGGGTGGTCTCCGTGTCTCCGCGGTGAGCACCTACTCGCGAGCGATGCTTGCTTGGGACACGTCGTCGTGTTGCCGGAGATATGTAGAGTTACCCACGACGAGCAATAAAATCAGCACCACCGTCTTGCTCCCTTCAGGACCATGTTTCCATCGGGACGGTAACCCCCCTATGAATAATACGATGATACGTCGCGATATCATCGAGCCACCGGGTATAAGCGCCGTAGGAAGTGGCGGGCGGTGCTAACTAATCGGGCGCGGTGTGTCGATCGCTTCGCGCGGAGCATACGGATTTATAAGCGGAGTTGAATTACCGCTTTGCTTGCGAATTGTCGATCGATTTTTGCAACGCCCGACAAGTACGCGTTATTGAGTCCCCTGATGTCGTCGAAGTTACGTTTCTCGCAGGTGAACAACGTCCGATATTGTAATATATACTTCAGCATCGATTGGTTCTGCCGCGATCGTATGCGATTTATCGCTTGTCTCGGTATCCGTCGTCGAATCGGTGTGTATCGCTGAAAATCCGTGACACGATTTCACGACAACGACAACGACGACGACGACGACAAACAACACACGCGGCACAAGCCCGCCTGTCGTCGTTCTCGGGCGGGGAATTAATTGTCCGCGGAAGATGTATGACCTCGGCAACGACTTTCTTGATAATAAGCAGGTTGCCGGTAGCTATTCGCACGTCCTACGAACTCGCTCTCGTGTAGGCCGGCCGCATTCGCGGATTTTAGAATCGATACGACCTTCGGTTGCAGGCAGCTGCTAAGCAAGATCAAGCGGCGCGCCGATAATGCGAACATATATCTACACGCGCGTATTTAAATTGATAATCACGTAGCCGCGCGCGCGTACATAAAAACGCTGTTTAAAAGTTGATAAAAGTGGATTTCCGTCCGCGTTATGGCCCGCCGCATTAAAGCAACTTCAAAGTGGAAGATAAGAAGTCTGGAGAACGACTTTCGCGCGATATATTCCGCACGCGCGTGCTTCATCTTCTTCTTCTTTCTTTATGAAATACGCGTGCAGCTTTTTATACGTCAGTTGTTCAAAACTCTTCAATCTTCGCAGAGCTTAAATCTTCCGGCTACGCGAAACATAGCTGTTCGATTATTGATGACGCATATTTTTTGTGATCCATTAAGGAGTGTACAAGTGTGCGCGTTCTTATCGAACCGAACATTTTATTCCTCCGCCATTTCGGTTCAATCAATTTCGTCTGGCTAACGTATCCATTTAACGCTCGTAAAAGAACTATATCTTCGAAAGCAGGAACGGTGTGCTGCAACGTTCTCGGCTTCCTTAGCGGGAGATTCCGCTTTGGCATTGCTTTCGTATATAATCCCGTCGACATCTCTCCGCGCCGGGCCTCTCTTTGAATGCTGTACACGTGCGATCCCACCTCGCTTCCCATTTCGGCATTACACGTCGAAGCTCCTTTTACGCGTGGGATGCCGATGGGCTCGATTTCGGTCGAGCGAACTCAATGAGGAGGAGATACAATCCACGAAGGTGAGCGCCGGAGCACCTCGGGACCGCTTGTGAAATCGGAGCGAATCCCGCCGTGAGAAACGAGACGCGAGTACGAAGGAGGACGGCGGGATCGTGAGGATTAAGAATGAACGTAACGATAAATTTATCACTGTCTGTGGAAGAAAGGAACAGCCGGCGCTGCATACATATTGGAGTATCGGATCGACAGTGGAAACGCGTGTCAGGTAGGATAGACGCGATTTTGCGATATCATGTTTACCTTTTCCTCATGCCTCGCGCCCTCCGATCCCGATCCGTAGATTAAATATACACAGGATGTAGGAATAAAATTGAATAAGATCGAAAGAAACTCGCGCGGAGAGGATGTTGGCGCGAGAAAAAAAAAAGAAGAGACGAAAAACAGATAAGATCTTTTTGCACACAGACAAGTTTCAATATATTTTCTTACGGATACGTTACACATATTTCCTACTTATCTCTCTAGTCCATTAATTCTCGTATTAGATCGATTTACGCGCGAAAAAAAAGAAGAAAGAAATTAATCCGTACATTTTTCTTTCGAAAAACTGCAGCGAAGTTGGATTTGCGAGCTGATGGTGAAATTAATTTTGCTGAGATCTCTATCTTCCGCGGACGCGCGTGCTCCCGCCGCTTCGAGCTCTCTTTCTTTATCCTTCGTGTCTGGGGAAGGTATTACCGGTGCTGTATCGGTTTAATAGTCCCGTCGAGAGGATAAAACGGTATATCGCGCAATTAATCCGAAAGGATCGGCCGAGCGTGTCATAAGAGCTCGTAAACTCAGGAAGCATCCTCTTGCATTTTCTGACGTAAGAAGGAACAAAATAAAACACTCATAAAAAGAGATATGAGAGAAATTGCGCCATCAATTGGGCCACTGAGATTCGTCAAACGTCAAAAACGAAAAACAAAAAAAACAAAAAAAAATAGAACAAGAAAATTACGCAGTTTGATTGGCGACGCGAGAAAAAGCACACTCGTGAAAAAAGAAGACAAGTTGCTTCAATAAAATCTCAATTTTTTCCCTCTTGCTTTCTTGAAACGATCTTCACCTCGCACGGTCCATCGGGGATACGAGAGCAGGAATTCGCGTGCCTTTTCTCCACAGAGGCGCTCGTAAAATCAGGAAGAAATCCTCACGCGCGCGAGAGAAGAACCGCGAAACAGAGGAGCCGCAAGAAACGAAGGAGCTGCTCGCTAGAACGACCGAAGAGAAGTAGAGGGAGTCGGCGAGGCGGACAGACGTACAACGCGGACGGCCGACGAGGGAGAGACGGAAGGCGACCGAAGGAGAGAGGCGCACAGAAAACGGGTCCACGGCTGGGTGGAGGAACTAGTCTCACCTAGTAGATCGCCCTGTCGCGGTGTGTGCTTTCGCGGGCGGCCGAGAGAGAGACGCGAACGAGAGTAGGAGGAGGTGGGAACGTGAGTTCCCTTCTACGCGGCGCGAGAGAGGAGGCGGAAAAAAAAAAAAGAGAGGCGAGAGAGCACGCACACGTACGCGAGAACGCGGCGGCATTGCGGCGATTATATGTATATGCGCGCGCTCCGTGTGTGTGCGTGCGCGTTCACACCGAGAGCGAGCGCGCTGCAAAACCGAATGTGTATGTGCACCGGGAGGAAACGCACGTACATGCAGAAGGAGTTGAGAGAGCGGGACGGAGACGGAGGGAGAAAGAGAGAGAGAGAGAGAGAAGCGAGGGAGACAGTGAGACGGGCCGTGTGTATGTACCACTAGAAGAGTGTACCAGGCTACTAGTGTTGTGACGGCGATCGTGCCCACGACTTCTCTGGCGGGCCGGTATCCGCGTTCTATCCGTCTATCTTCTCCTTCTCGTCGCGCCCTCCCTGATCCGTGGCGTTTTTGCGTCGGGTTCCCTCCGTGCTCCCCGAGACCTCAAGAGCCCCCTAGTATCCTCTTCTTTCTCGACGACGGGGGCGATCTCTCCTCCGCCTTCTTCACGTTTCCTCTTCGTTGACCTCTTCTGCGTTCGTTTTACACTCTCCGACAGTTTTTTTTCCTTTTCTCTTACTTCCTTTCCTCTCCCTCGTCCCCGGCGCGATTTCGCGCGGACACGCGCCTCCACTTCCGGCCGAAAAGTGACCTCTCGGGCGACGGGCTTCTCGCTGGCGAGACCAGTACGGCTTTGCTACTTCGACCGAGAATATAGCCGAGGGTGTTGTCGTAAAGTACGCGCACGATCAGGTCTAAGTGTTCGCACGCGTGTGCGAAGCGCAGGTGCTCCGGAAACGCGCGCCACGTGCTGCCGCCGCGACGTCACCGCCAATGGGTACGTATATATGCCATTTGCATCGCTGATACGCGTCGATCTTCCTTGTGTTTACGAGTGACGAGCGTATCTGCCGGTGGTTACACACGCTTTTACCGACACGTCTCTCACAAATGGCGAATCTATCTGGACCTTACGACTTCGGAGGCTGACGACGTGAGAGTTACACGTGCACGTTTCGCATTCGTCTTGCGCGTTCGGAATTCTTACGTTTATCTCCGCAATTTGCGTCGTTTCCGAAACGCGAGTTGGATCGTCAACGCGATAATCACCGATTGAGAGACTATATCAGATTTATAATTGTTCGATTTTGTTTGACGTAATCGCGCATTTTTGTGTATATCTTTTTGGATTTTTAATTAATTTACACCTTACCTTACTTCAAGTAGTTTTCTCTCATCAATCAAAAATATTATTGATACGAAAATTAGATGAGATATAAATTGCTCTTTCGCGACAAGATTCCATTGCTTTTTATGCACGACACGTCGATGTATAAACTGATAACAGTCTCGTGTGAAAACACGAAAAGTGATCTACTTCTTTTCATTGCTAAAAGTAAACGCGACTAAAAGCTTCGGTAACGGTTAACCGGCGCGGATGATCGAGCGAATCCGCTCGGAAAGTAACAGGTTCCAGGCCCGCTTTTTACGCGACCGCCTGATTCGCTACGCGGAAAAATGTCGGCGCCGTCAACGGCCTCGTTTATCTCGTGTCGGGACGAAGGGATAAAATTCCGCGCTGTGGTTGTGGCAGGCTCTTCGAGCCGCGAGTTTCATCGCGACGTGCTGAAGTGCCGCGCGCGAAAAAAAAAAAAAAAAAAAGGAACACTCTGCCGTCCATAAATCTCAACACGCGACGAGATTACGCAAACAACGTCTGTCTGCGCGAACATTTCGCTTATGCGTGTCTGTGAGTTTTCCGCGGTGAATTTGCGCGAATTACATTATTTTACCGCAAAAGCAGAAATCTCTCAATAGTAGACCGGGTGAATCGCTGATTTATTTGCGATACACGCGTGCGATTTTACGCGCGCGTTGTGATTTATCTGAGAAATCCTCGCGGCGCACACGTAACATTTATTATACACATACTATATCCTTATCGCGAATTTCTCGTAATCACATTTTTCACTGAAAATGACAGATGTTATTAGACGCGAGTTGTAAAATTAGCCGATAATTAGCCGATATGTCGTTCATGGTTGTCGTGGAAAAAGCAAAATAATTTCCATACACACATGATGTCCGAGCGTATATCTGCTGGCCTTTCGTCCTTCGTGCCGACAACGTTCATTTTTCATACGGATTAATAAGTTTCCACGAACGACAACGATTCGCCTAGATTCGTATCAACGAAGTCGCCCGACTTGTTTTTCTGCGCGACAGAAAGCACTGCCTGAGGAATCGTATCACGCGTCACGGATCATCTGCGATTTTACATTGACACGTACATACATACGCCTAATGGAGCGAACGTCGTCGTCTATTCATCGAACGACACGCCCGCGCGACGGATAATCAAACGATCTTAATCGGTCGCGGCTACAAATCATCGTAGCGCTCCGAATGACAAATAGCAGATAAGTTTTTTTTTTTTTTAGAGATTGAAAACGAAAGTCAATAAATAATTTCCGCGCATATAATAACCGTTAAAAAAGAATTAAATAAAAAGAAAAAAAATCACCGTCGTTCTTAATCGACGTAAATTCGAGGGTGAAATCATCCGGGATCGAATTTACCGCTTGCACGTGTAATTCTCAATTATCCGATCCGCGCGACACGGAGATCGCGGCGCATTAATTAATCGAAATGGGTCAGCGATATTTGCCGAATGAAAACCCGCTATTTGCAGATCGTGCGCCATTCTTTCAAAGTGCCGGATGCAGAAAAAAAAGGATCCGGCTCTTCTCTTACGTCATTACGTTGTTACACGTATCAGGATAATGATAACCCGACAGCCGGCGCGATACATCGGCTTGCTCGAGGAGTTGCATATCAAATCGAAAGTCAACAAATTACGCTTGCAGTTAATGAGAGACTTGTTTCGAACTCCGCGAAGAGAGCCACGTAATTATTAAATCGTTAAGGAGGGCCATACACGGACAGGTACATCGCTTCTCGATGCGGAGAGACGGGGCTCGTCTGATGTTTAAATTATCGTTAACTCCGCGAGTCCGATGAAACGCGATTCTTCGCGTCAGCAAAGAAAATAACATACGGCGTTCTTCTTTTTCCGCAAAAAAAAAAAAAAAAAAAAAAAAAAAAAAAAAAAACAAAAAGCGGTCACGCGCTCAAGAAAACTCGCACGATGATGATGAC